GTAAATTGGCACATTTGTTCTTAGAGAACCGAATGTTTCCCAAGAGGGATTCTGTTTGGGATTGGTTTGCAAGGACGAGTTGAAGCTGGCACACTTAGGTAAGAAGATTAAGGTCGTGGTTTTTAATGTTGAGCATTTACCAGACATGTGTTTAATCCTGGCCTGATCCATCGCAGTGACAGTTCCACTTACAAGCTTTTCTGCTTCGCACGCTTGGCAGTTTGGGTTCCCGCTCTTGTTGGGTTCATGGCATTAGTACAGTTGGGGCATACATATGACTTTGAGGCGAAATTAGGAATGTAGCCCAGGCTTGAGATGCCACAGAAAAAGCCAGCAGCATGATTATGAAGTTCCAAAATTTCAGATCACTTTTAGTGCTTGATGGTGGGTGTACCTTTTTTTTTTTTCAAACCATGGAAAATAACTGGAGGGAACCTCATCTGAAGAATTCTCAGGGAACAGAACCCCTGTTGACAACATCCACCACATTACAGGGATCTACATCTTGCCCCTGAGCAAGACCTATACTTTGGACTGTACTGATAAAAACAGAGTGCAACAACAACTCCACAAGTTCAACAGCATTTTAAAGAGAGCTCTGCATACATTATTCAAAGATTACTTTTAAACCGTTTGTTTTTGTATACTTAATAGAGATATATTTTCTGATATTATAAATGCTTGTATAATTCATATACAGACATGTATTACATGTCACAGACCTACATAAGATCCTCTTTTTTCTGCATGTATGGGAAGACAGACTGAGTTTGCTTTTAAGAAAAAAACAAGGTCACAACCTGCTCCATATTCAGACTTATTGGTATGTCTAAATATTAAGTTAGTCATGTCTCTGTTCACATTAATTAACATTAACATAGCCATAAATGATAACACAGTAGTTCATAGTAGCCTGTTTAGTTGACCTATCTGAACTAATCAGATTCTGATCATCTATCTGTGTACATTTTACAGCAGAGAAAACATCTGAGAGAACATTTTAATACTGATACAGAAATGTAAATGATTTTGAACAGAAATATTAATCCTACTATTACTCCTTTCATCGTTAAACTTTATTTATGTACATTTAAAAAATGGCTTCATAGCCAGCTATAACATATGCTGGGAAGGAAGAGAACAAGGTGGGAAATATATGAGCAATAAAAGTGATAATAATAATGATAAAAGCCAAGACCAGACACGATAAGGCAGTTACAGCATGAGTATAAAAACAGAACAATATAATAATAAAAGTCAGGAGAAGACAGGTACAGAAGTTATAATACCGTAATAACAGTAACAATAAAATGACTTGAATTATTAATGATGTAACAGTTAAGTAATAATAAAAATAAATCAAAAGTATTTAATTAAAATGATTAAAGAAATCAATGAATTGCATCAGATAGGTGTTCATATTCTTGTTTTATTGACACCAGAGTCTCTCATTACAGATCCTGTGTGAATGTCTATCAGAATTAAGAATGCTGTTTTTTTCTCTAAAGTCGAGTCATTTCACAGAATAATATCTTCTAAAATTGCCTGTTTTTCCCTGATCTCACACACCGGTATGTTCAAAAGGAATAATTTCCAGTATCATCTGACTGTATGCCGCATTAAGTTTGAAACAAAGATTCAATATAAGGCTAAAGAGAAGCAGTGTCCTCCAGAGAGCCTAATTCGTTTCATTGGTGTGTCTTTTCCCACCGTCTCTAATTACACCATCATCAGCTCAGACCAAAAACTCCCCAGCTGATGTGTTCTCACTTGGTTTTTAAGAGAAGGACACGATACGTTCAGAGAGCATTATGTGACTAAAGGACTAGCAGAGTGCATACATCTGTCATACATCACAATCTGCAGCAAAATACCCGTTGAGACAGAATATTTCTGTCAATGGCAGATGGCAGCCAGTACTTCAAACAACAAAATCCACTCCACAATCCACAAATCTACAAAGTTTCAAGTGCATCAGACTCAGGACCACTGAATAAATGTATCATGTTGCTGTTGTGCTACCCAACTTTATTGGTATGCAATAACAATTATTTTTGACATTTTTGAAAATGCTCTTTTTGTTTTTTAACCGAGAGTTAAATAAGAAGATTGATTCCAGCTAAATATTAAGTTACAGAGAGTTAGCTTCTGTATTAGCATAAAGACTAGAAATAGCTAGCTTGGCTGTAGGTCAAGGCATAGTCCAGCCCATCGACTAATATATACGCAGTAGGCCTTCATTCTCAGAATTATATTATTATTATTTATGGAAAATTAATTTAATTTAATTTAATTGTTATTTTGGAAGTTTAGATTTTAATTTAAATACATTTTAATTTAAATTAATTAACTCCTCCTTTAATTAAGACCTGAAAACAAGCTGTCCTGTATTAGAAAAGTACGCAAGCATCAGGGAGAAGAAAACACTGAACTTGTCAAAAAAAGAAGCCTAAAAGCATATTTAATTGTTCATTTTTTTAAATGTCACAGGACAGACAGAGAATTGTATAAAAATATCATGAAAACTTTTCTCTGATCAATATTCACAGGGAATAATCTGCTCAGAATGACTCATTTTACACAAACTTATTGTGTTACGCCTTGAATTTAATATGAAATAATCATAAACTATGTCCACAAGTTGCTGATTTTACACCGTTTTTGTATAGATTAACAAGATGTTAGTTTATGACCTTTACAAGCTGTGTTTTTCAAAAAACTTTTGGACACTCCCTCCAGTCTTTATGCTAAGCTACAGGCTAATCATCTCCTGGCTCTAGCTAACAGACCGACATGAAAGTGGTCTGTTGGCTGGAGCTCTCGGAAAGAAAGTGAATAAGCATTTTTATGTTTCATTTGTATACAATTGGATAAAATTTGTAGGAGGGGAAAGAATGTTTTTCCAGAAATGGCCCTCAGGAGGAAAAAGTGAAAAAAAAAAATCCTTAAATTACAGTGTACAGTAGGATCTATATCTGGATTCAGACCCAAACTTATTGCTTGGGCTTGTTTGTCCACCAGATTTTATTAACTGAAGCCAAAGTCCTTGACATGGATAAGATATACCTTATGTGGTGGTGACAACCTCAGAGGAGGACTCTGTGATTGGTCGCTGGTGGACAGATCTTTTGTTTATAAACAGCTACAGTCCTCATTAGAGGAACTGGAGCCAATGATTAACTGTGAGCCAGGGGCCACCAGCAGTAGGTCCCCACCATACAAACACTGGACACAAAACAACACAGCAGTTTTGTGAAGGTCCAGTATCATGACTTACTTCTACATTACAAACCTGCTCAGTCAGATTTTCTTTTACATTCTACAGGTGATCAGGTACAAGAAAATGTTTAACCAAACCACTACTGGATTAGTATTGGGTTAATTTTTGCTTTCATTAGATAATATTAAAAAGGGTAACTAAGGAAAAGAATGAGAAAAAGTCAAAGTAAAAATAGAATCAAAGCATATGAAATCCCCTGTTTGAAGCAGCCTCATTGTCCCTGAGAAGATAACATGACTCCCTAATAATGTGGGTGTGAATGTTGCCCTGAGAGCAGCGAGACCTTGAAATACTTATCTCACACACAGATACAAACAGTGAGAGGAGCAGATTTATTTCTTTTTGTTTTTTTCTCTGCACGCTGCAAAACAAACCCCAGCACAGGAAAAGTGACTCTCACTATCTCCTCCCTACCCGCTCTGGGCTAGTGGAGGCATGCAAACAACGCTCCACAGGTGAGATATCCTATCTAGTCTGTTACAGTTGATGATCAAGAACCATTATTTCCGACACTACAGAGAAATATTACTCAATTTCCAAGGATTTCATTTGTCAAATGCCTTGTCTAACACTAGACTCACTTTACCTACCAAATAGAAAAATCATCCGTGTTAAGTGTAAACCCCAGTTACAAACAAATGGAGTATGATGCTATTACAGGTTGTTTGTATGTCAACACCAGCTGAGTTCATTTAGAACGAAACAAAGAAGGGATTGGAGGACAATGATCGATTTGCAGCATTTAATTGTGCAGACAGACTAATGTTTCCACACTACTGTGTCTTTATAAGAGTCAAAATGATTTTAATAAGTTTAATAAGTGAAGTAATGACTCATAATCAATTAAAAATACTACAAAACAAACAAGTATTTAAGGGGAACTACATCAATTTTAGATGTTAAGGTCTGTTACCAGGTGTTAGGGTACTATTGCACATGTGAAAAAAGTTGAATAAAACCTTTTGTGGCTCCAGAGGGAGCTGCGTTAAAGGTCCAATGTGTAACATTTAGGAGGATCTAATAGCAGAAATGGAATATAATATTCGTAGGTATGTTTTTATTAGTGTATAATCACCTGAAAATATGAATTGTTGTGTTTTTGTTATGAGCCATTTATATCTACAGAGGGAGTGGGTCCTCTCCTATGGGGGCCGTCATGTTGAACCTGTGGATGAGAAGAGAACTGGATACAGCATTGGAGGCTCTGTTCTTTCCTATGAAAGCTGCTCAGTGGCGCATGAAGCCAAAAAAGCCACTTATTGCTGCAAAGAAATTACTCAGATGATGAATGAATGCGTGGCCGAGCCGGCTAATTTCCAGTTTAGCCCTTTGTTAACTTGAATGGGGATAAATTATTGAATCTGGCAAATCTTCTGAACTTTCAAAATGTTATCAGACCAAATAGTAAAACAAGTCATTTTGTGGGGGTTGTAAAGCATAAAAATGTATCCACTGTTTTACAGCCGCTTTCTTTCGTCATTTGTGCATCACATGATGGACGCCGTTGCTATAATTACACCGTTCGGCCACTATGTCAAA